ACAAATTATCCCAAACAAAACCATACCATTGCTAAATTTAAGAACTGTAATGTAGTTACTTATCTTAAACCCAAAATCCCCATAAACCGACAAATAAGAGGAAAAGAGTCCCCGAAATCCTAGTAAATGTGGTGGGGTTAGGACCCTCTCTGAAATTTTGTTTTATGAAATTTGTAAACCCCCCATCGTAATCTTTATAGAGAATAAACTTGATTGTTTGATTATTTATTTTTCCGGGTTTCAAAAAAATCCCTCAAAGTGTTTTTTAAATCCCAGGGAGGGGTCATGCCCCCTGCTGAGGCCCCATTTCCCCTCAAGGTGTTATGCACCCCAGGGGTGGTCTGCACCCCTGTGAGGCACCACTCCCCTCAAGGTGTTATATCCCGGGAGTGGTCATGCACCCCGCTGAACACAACTCTCCCCCAAAGTTTTTTATGTATCCCTGGGAAAGTGGTCATGCACCCCTCTGAGGCACCATCCCCCCAAGGGTTTAAATGTATCCCAGGGAGGCAGCCCCCCCTTGGAGGCCCCATCCCCCCTAAAGGTTTTTATTTACCCCGGGAGTGGCCATCACCCCTGCTGGGGCACACTCCCCTAAAGGGTGTTTATGTACCCAAGGGATCGTCATGCACCCCTGTTTTAGGTACCACTCACCTCAGGGTTTTTATGTATCGCAGGTTGAACAACATTATAATAAGCCCCAAAAGAACAAAGGAAACACCAGAAGCTTAATAAATCATGCTAGGGGGTAAAACTACACCCCCAAAATTTTATACTACCCAATTTTATTCACTCGATTCCTGGCATTTCTTTCATCATCGGAAAATCTGCAAACCAGTACTTCCCTTTTTTAAACTAAATTTTTCCAGCTTGAATTTATTGCTGCAAGTCCTGTCTTGGGTTTTATATTTTATTCCTGATTTCCCTTTGTACACTTCGTTATATCCCCCTAATTCACGGGTTTCCATGAGTGCAAGTTCAATCCTTCAGCCTATTTTGGTAGGAAAGGTTTTTATTACATGGGAACAACTTTTGTCATACTTCTCTGTATATTTTTTTGATTTAGTCCAACGAAAAATTTGGGAACCCAAAAACCCGAGAATAATTAAATAAGGGCTACCCCTTTAAAGATATGTGCAGGGGGCCCTTAAAGTATGCACGTGCATGAGTAGCTTTTAGCGGACTATTGCCCTTTAAATTTTGAGAAGCTCAGGGGAAAAATTTTTTTGCCAGATGATTCCCCATACAATTTGCCAAGACATAAAAAAAGGTTACATATTTGATATCATTCTGTAATGATGGCCTAGTTGGTAACTCACACGACTTTTAAACAAGAAATTTGGGAACTTATTAAGAGTAACTCCTTGCACAGATTTTTTTATCCCCAAACTGCGAGTGTATTGAGCAGGTTTGACTCTTTTATCTTCCATATCAGCCTTTTCATTGTCTTCTCGCTTCCCGGGCCGTGTGGACAGGCTGCGCTACCCCCAAATAAAAGGGTTTTACTGCGAGTTTTTTCCTGTTTTTGTGCATACAACTGGCGGATCGCATTGGACCCGAGTGAACACTTTTTGTGGGGAATTTGGTTGGGGGCACGCTTACAGGAACAACAATGCAGGTGTTCGCCTCGATCATCAGTGAGTATATGGAATCAAACAAGAATTAATGGATACATAAAGGGGTGGGGCAAGGATTTCTTTAAGGGTTAAAGAAAAGGATCTACACAAGCTTAGTCAACAAATATCAAGAGAAAAGGCTAGCATGAACACAGGGGGAATCGCTTACATGATGTATCCAGCTAGTGACGTGGGTGAAAGTACGAAACGTGCCATTTGGGGCAACAGAGTTTGATGTAAGGCAGTAAAAAAAAAAAAAAATTTGGGGGGGGTTTTCCTTATGAGGGCTACCAGGGATCATTTTTTTCTGAAAATGCTTTAGGCAGCCAAATTTCCCTCAACTTCTTCGGGGGTTTTCCCGGGCCCAGGTCTACTGTACTACTCAGGGCAGTGGAAGACTTGCAGATTATGTGGATCTTTTGAACATATGTTCCTGATCAGCCGGGCTGTGGCTCGTACGTTGGTTTGCGTGCAGCCAGCAGCAATAGCCTGGTTGATCAGGCGTGTTCCCCCAGGAGGGCCCGGGCCAACCGGCCGCGGGCGTTTACCCCCGAAACTCTCTCCAGGTAAACTCCAGGTAATATAGCAGCCCAATGCTATAAAAAAGCTGGACGGAGGGAACAGGTACTAGTGATCTTACATCAGAGGAATGGTATGGGGGCGTTGGAGGAAGGAGTAAGGCCAAACAAGAATCCTTGCCGGTGGAGTGAAGAAGTGGATAGGGCTGAGGCGGCTATGGAGGAAGGTGTAACATTAACGGTTGATAAGGGAAAGACGACATCGACGTCGAGAGTGAGTGATGAGGAGGGTACGGGCCAACAGGATGGCTTGCTGGAGGCAGTACTAAGCTCCCTTTTGCATGACGAGGAGGGACAGGAGGATGAAGGGTGTAACCTCTTGCAGGCGACGGCGCAGCAAGATCTGGAGCTTAGGAATGCTGTGTGCACTAATGTTAATGTGCCCAACATTGTGGCAGAAGTCCATAGGGCGGAAAAGACAGGTGACGAGGTGTATGGGGAGGGAAGTTCTCGTAAGAGAACTGCAGGAACATCGGAGATGGACGATGTTCTTACTCCAGGACAAAGAACAGGAGTAAAATCTTGCAGAAAGGAAGTATGTCATAAGGGGAAAGAGGGGAGGGGTAATGAAGGGTTTAATGGTTCTAGGGATAATGGAGGGATAGGGGGGGGGTGAATAAGCAAGCTGTCAAGAAAGACGCAATACAGCAGGACGGTATAGGAGGGTATGTGCCAAGAAGAAAAGGTAAACCACCACTTTTAAAATAATTCACGGTAGTAACTGTAAATGTAAATGGATTGAGGAATGAAGTGAAATGGGTATGGATGGAATGGTTTTTGAGGAGATATAATGTGGATGTATGCTTTATACAAGAACATAATTATAAGATAGGCTGTGCTTTGGCATTAAAAGGTTATAAATTGTATGTAAGTGGGTCTGTTAGGTTAAAAGGGGGAGTGGCAGTGGCTGTGAAGGAAAATAGTCCCTTACGTATTATAAAGTGGGAAGAAGGGGGATGAGGGTAGTGAGGGTGGATGGTGAGTGGGGAGCATCTAGAGTATGTTTCATTGGGGTTTATATGCCAGCGGAGAATATAATCAAAGTAAAAGAGGAATTTGTGAGAGACGTTTTGGTGTATTTTTTTAAGGGGTTTACCTCTAGTCACTGTAATTGGGGGGGGGCTGGAACTGTGTTATAAGGGGGGGGACGTGGAGCCAAAGGGGGCGAGTTGTGTGTTAGGGTCGTTACCCAATGTTTTACAGGATGTAGGGGTGAGGGACGTGGAGGGGAGTGGGGCTTGGAGAGTGGATTTCACTTTTGTTAGGAGAGATTATTCAGCGAGGTTAGATAGGATTTATATAACGGGGGCAGTCAGTGTAGGAGGGGTAAAAACAGTGGATGTTGGGTTTTCGGATCATAGGGCAGTTTTGGTAGAGCTGGATTGGGAGGGAGTGGTAAAGGTATATTCAAATTTTTGGAAGTTATATGCGAGGTTGGTGAGGAGTGAGGTGGTGAATGAAGAGTTTAGAGACTGGTGGAGACAATTGTGGATGGCAAGGGATGGGGTAGGGAGTATTTTGGATTGGTGGGAATATAGGGCTAAACCTGGTATCTCGAGGTTTTATAAATATAAAGGAAGGGAGGAGGCGAGGTGGAGGTATGGTTTACAGAATTATTTGGAACAGCAGCTCAATGAGTGTTATGCGGGTGAGGAGGGGAAGTCTTTTGAAGAAATATCAGGGCTAAGAGAGAGACTAAGGGAAATACATAATGAAAGATTTGATGAAATAAGGGTAAGGGCAGGGATGAATGCCATACTATGGGGAGATAAGCCGTCGGGTAGTGTGTTAAGAAGTTTTCAAATTAGACAACAGGAGTCCACTATAATACTTTTAGAGGTTAGTGACGATTTGGAAGGTTATACTAAGGGGCAAATGCTGGTAACAACTGAGGGGATAAGTAATTATGCGGATTATTGGTTTAAAAGGAAATGGGAAAAGGGTAACATGGGGATAGTTAATAAAGAAAGAGGAGGGATGAAGGCCTGGCGGAAAGGTGGGGAGGACTGAGGGGGATTGGATGATGTAATAAGTATGGAAGAAGTGAAATAGGCGGTGTTCAATTTAAGTAAGGGGAAAGCACCAGGAATCGATGGGCTTTCCAATGATTTTTATAGAGTGCATTGGGAAACCATAAATGATTGTTTGGTTCAGGTATTGAATAGTATGGTGAAGGAAGGGAAATTGGGAATGTCACAAAGGACGGGTGTGGTCGTGCTTGTAAAGAAAAAGAGGGAGGGGAGAACACTGAGCACGTACAGGGCCATATCTTTAATGTGTACGGATTATAAGATTTTTGCGAAGATTCTAGGGAACAGGATGAAGAGGGTGATAGGAGGTATTTTGCACAAGGGTCAGTTGGGGATTCTGGGTCATAGTATGAGGGATGGACATAGTCGAATTAGGGAATTTTTGAAGGGTTGTAAGGGGGGTGGAATTTTGGGCATTGATTGGGAGAATGCTTATGACAGTGTGAATAGGGAGTACATGGTTGACACTTTAAGGCTTATGGGTTTTGGGATGGGAATAGTAAAATGGGTGAAGACCTTGTATGCAGAAGCCATGATTCAGGTGCAAATTAATGGTAGGTTGAGTAGCGTGTTGAAAATAGAGAAAGGTTTGAGACAGGGGTGTGCTATGTCTCAAATTCTGTTTGCATGTATGCAACACCCGTTTTATGGAATGGTTGAGGAAGCAACAACATTACAGGAAGAGGGGACGAGGTTTACAGAGGTAGTTGGTTATGTAGATGACACAACAATACTGATCAATGATGTCGAAGGTTTGCGAAAGGTGGAGAGAGTAATGAGGTTTTTTGGGGAGGCGTCAGGCATGCGTGTCAACAGAGCTAAATCGAAATTATTAGAGATAGGAGATTGGGTGGGGGGTAGAATGGGGGTGGAGTTTGGATGGGATGTGACTGAACAGCTGAAAATTTGTGGGATTATCTATATGGCAGATGAGCAAGAGGCTAGACGGAGGAATTCGGAATTGGTGGGAGAGAAAGTTGTACAATGGATTAGGAACCTAAGAGCGAAGGATGTTACTTTAATGCAAAGGGCAATAATAATAAATTCATTGGTTTATAGTAAAGTGTGGAACGTGGCAGTGGTGTATCCTTTACGGGAACAGGAGATAAAGAGATACAGAGAAGGATCTTCGTTATATATGGGGTTTGGACGGGCATGGATAAGTAAAGAGGTGGTTATGACGAATGTGCGCAAGGGGGGTAGGGCTTTTGATGCTAGGGCCGAGGGTAAAGGCCATGTATGTTAAACAGAGTTACGTAAGGGAGGGGGGGGTAAAAGGGGTGAGGGTTGGGAGGGTGATGGGGGATGTACGACGATGGTGGGGAGGCAAGGACTTAATGGAATGTGAAAATATGCTAAGGGTTATGTTAGTAATAGGTGAGGTAAAAAAGCTGAAGGTGGGAAGGTTAGTAGAGATGAGTAGGAAACCAGAAGTCATGCAAGGGGTGGCAGTATACGCTTTGTATGATTGGGATACGATTTGGCATGATTTCCAGAAGCTTAGATTAATGCCGAGGGTAAGGGAGTTAGTTTATAGGTTTGTAATGGGAATTTTAGCGTCAAAGCAGGCTTTGTGTGTGATGGGTTTGGTAAGGGAAGCGAAATGCGAACATTGTGAGGAATCGGAAACAGCTTTTCATGCCGTATATTTTTGTAGGGAGTTGGGGCAGGTACGGGTGTGGCTGGCTAGAGTCTTCAAGTTAATGGGTGGGGGCAATGTAGAGCTCCTGCGTGCCGTAACTTTAGAGGTAAGGGGGGTGTCTGAGGTGGTAAAGAGAGCCATTCTGTACATTGTGACAGATTTCTTGTTTTATTCCTGGGGCTTGAAGGAAAAAGGTGGGGGGATAGGTAAGGGCAATTGCAGCAGGAATTATCGCACAGTCTGCAGAAATAAAATCATTTATGGTAAAAGGTGGGTAACTGCGTTCCCGGAGGCATATAGAAATATAACGGTAAAGGGACTCAGTAACTTGGCCACTTAAGTACTAAGGGACCATTTTCCTTTTTTTAACCGAATATAACCATACTAAGATTGAAAATGTGGAGGATTGTCTGAGATTTTGTTTGGGAGGGGATGCTGCAATGGGGTTTTAAATTTTGGGGGAGGTTTTCTAGTGTGTGAATGTTTTAGTTTAACCATGTTGAAAAACAACGGGTTATTGTTGATCTGTTTTAAATAAAGTAAAGATCTTTGTAATGAGACAACTAAAAAAAGGGAAAAATCAAAGCATTTTAACATTTTTGGTATAAAGGATAAGAGTAATCTTTTTTTTTCAAATTATTCAATTCCCTTGCTTTTTTCCAATAAAACATTTAAAAAAAGGGGTTGAAAAAAGTCTTATCTATTTTGTGTTAAATGTGTGTTGAGTCGGTGTGGGTTGTATATCGAGTATATACGAAAAAGTAATAATGAACAGTAAGTTGTGTTAAATGTGTGTATGAGCGGTGGGGGTATGTATGATGGGTTTAAATCGAAAATGTATATATATGAAAGAGTATGGGTTGTTTTGTTTACCAACTTTTTAAAATCGCCTTCTGGAAGGCGCCCCTTTTAGCATGTGCATATAATGTTATTGTGAGTAAAAGGGAAATCACTGGTTTTAGTTTTTAATTGTAACATACACCGTGAATTTAGAACTAACATAGGGGGGGGGGTTTTTAAAAAAGGGGGAAATTTCGTGTTGTCAAAAATAAAATTTTTATGGTGGAAATTATAATTTTGGGGTTTTTGAAAGTTCATATGGTGGGGAAAAAATTTTTCTCCAGGGGGGGGGTATCAGCCCCTTTCACCCTCTCACCCTGGGGGGCCACTAGAGGGCGAGCGTTTGTTTACTGTAGAGTGAGTAATTGTCACAGATGCCTTTTGCGGGTCAAATGCCCCTTTGCCCCTTGCAGTCCAGTGTTGCAAAGTGTTTTTTTTATAAGAGACAGGCATCTCTTATTTTAGCAGACAATTAAGGAAAATCCTACCCCACTTTTTTACCTAGTAAAGTAGTGTACATTGTTGTTTTTTTAAAGACGCAAAAAACATACATTCTGCTTTGCTTCACGAGGAGGTAAAAAGGGATGCAAGGTACTAGGTCATTTTTTTTTTTTGTTTTTAGGGGCGTGAGGGTTGGGCAGTGTAGCAAAGCCAATTACTTTTGATCTAGAGAGAGTCACACTGAGCCAGGATAACCAGAAA